TTTTCATGATTTAGATATTTGCATTTAAACATATCCATTTTAATATAAAATTTAATAATTATTACGATTTATTGCATTCATTTTTTTAATTAAAAATGTATTTTTATAATATACATTAAATTATTTAGAAAAAAACTTGAAACATATATCCTTAAATTAATTACTTGTTCTAAATTTTCCAATTCATGATTTAAAAATAGAAGACAGCATTGAGATTAAATAACATTATGATAAGGCATATAATTTTTGAATTTCGAAAATGTCTATATTATATTAAGTTAAAAAAACGAATTTATATTATAAGTCATGACTACCTCTAAGTTATGTGCTTTAAATGTTGTGATTAAATTGTTTTACTGTATTAAAAATTATATATTTTAATTTACATTAAAAGTAATTTCATTAAAAACGTTCAATACAATTTGTGAAGGAAATTATTCAACTTGAAATTCATATTATGTAAATTTATTTTATATCCCATTATTCATCATTATTTAAATTATAATATAATTCATTGTAGGATCTAAAATATTTCGGACAATTTAAATTATATAATATTTGAAGTTTGCAACTATTTAATGAAGATTTCTCTCAAAAATTACATATGCAATGTTTAACTTCTTTATCATAGTTATTTAGATTGTAAAGACAGTAGTATTTCTTAAAAGTACATTATGTAGGTTATAATTTAAATATTTTTTCTTAAATTTAAACAATCAAATATTAATGATTAAGATTAATAGATTAAATATCGAAGTCCATTTAAAATGATAGCAGACCACATTTAAAATGAACTATCTTTAACAGTTAATACTACTCACATTAGGCACAATTATTAATACCATAAATAATAATCTCAACTAATATTAGGAATGAAAATTTTGTTCTAAAAAACCAATCGAATAAATTAGTTTTTTTCGAATTTTTTTATTTGATAAAAGACAAAGAATAAACTTACATGAATTTATATCTTTATTGGCAATAGTGACAAAGAAAAATTTCGTATTAAACAAAATTTATGACTTTTGGTAATTGGGAAAAATGGATTTGATTAGCACTATAAATATTTGCTGAATAATAAAGTGAATTGAGTTTTTGAATACTTACGTCTCTAAATAATGAATGGCTCATCATATTCTCTTGATTAAGATTTGATTATAATATTATCAGGAATGATTAGTTGAAATAAATAGGAGATAAAGAATTTTTTCAAAGTTTAGCAAAGTTCTTTTCGATTTCCAAGAGAAGAATTAAACTAGATTTAAGCTTAGAAAAATTGTAAATTTTTGAATCTAGAGTAACAAATTCTTTAAAAAGAGAATCAGTTTGAAATTATAATTTGAGTAATACCTTTTATCTCTTTTTTCAAGAGTTTATCAATCAATAATTTGAATAAAATGATTCTTTAACTAAGCATTCAATGATGAATGATTATTACAGTCCATTCTCTTACTAATTCGACTAAGTAAACCATAAAAAATACAATAATGAATCTATTAAAAGCTTGCTATTTCTACTTTTTTAATCTAAACTAAAGTTAAAGGAACTAGAGAGATAAAACTATATAATAAATGATTATCTCAACTCTGCATTTTCTTTAAAATAAATTCCTTCATCCACTTAGTTTCTTTTGATGCTAGTTATCATCATTTCTTAATAACTTAAATTAATTCAAGCTTCATTATTGAAATATCAATAGTCTCCTGAAACTTTAATTTAGCTTTAATAATCATTTTCAATTTCCTTTGAATGTTTAATCAAATTACATGAGAATGGTTAATTTCTTATATGAAAACTGTGTTAATATTTAAATGATATAGCTCCAGTTTTTAAAACTTTCAAATTGTTAGCTTCTATAAGGTTATGAAGAGGATGAGTATTTTTGTGAAAAGTAATTACCACCTTAATAAACTTAAAGTGATTGTGAAATTAACATAAGTTAGAAATGGAAGTCTTGAACAAACGAAAATTTTCCATTTTGACCTGGTAGTCGATGTTTATTCTGGAAGTGAGGCAAAATATGGAGGACAGATATTATTGGAATCATTCTGCCAAACTATTTTCTACAACTCTTTCAAATTCTAGAATTGAGCAAGTGAGGAGCATACCTATTTATGTCTTTTTTGATAAGTTATTTGAATTAAATGTCAGAGACTTTTCAGTCATACTCTAAGGACTTCCAGGTTTGTCAAGGGAGCCATCTCAAGTTTCGGACCAGAAAGTCTTATTAGATTTTTGTAAAATGACCTCAAAAGCAGCAAAATAAATATCAAATTATTTCTTTTTGTATTCTTGTAGGGCTAGCTGCAAGTTAAGTGTGAGTTTTATTTACCTCGTTCTTAAGAGATTAATTTAGTGTTATGGCAAATTAAATCTATTAGTGTATATTTTGATAAGCCTCAAAATAGAGTGATCCAAATTGATTGTTTTTCATTGATATAACTAAAATCGACATTATCATTCATTTTTCTCTTTAGCCACCAATACATTATCTTCTTCTTGCTTATTAATAAGGCCCTAAACTAGTCAACACTATGTTTCAGAGCTTCTAAATAATGAAAATATGGATTTCTGATTTTATTTCAAATTTATACTTGTATAAATTAAAGATATATTGTCATTGTCTAGGCAGGATATTTCGCCCACACATAGACATAACTATCTCATCTTTAAGTATAATTGGAGAATACCAATTATACTTTGATTATTAAAGGATATATAAATTACTATTCTTTCTAAAATATATTAATTTCAAATCTCAATAGTATAGAATAATCAGAAATAAATTTACTATTAGTATGGAATTACCTGATTTGAGTCAGCAAATTTCGATATGATGATAGTAGTCCAATCCAATTTGAATCTATACACAAAAAAAATACAGCTACATCATTTGCAAAGATAAAACATTTAAGAGCATCTTTTAGGAGATATTAGTAAATATTTTAATCCTATTGATTATTAGAATCTCTGTTTTCAAGTTCTTAAGAAATGCTAAATATGTTATCCTTATGAATTTGAGAAAGCTACATATAACATCATCCCAATTGGGAAACTCATTATCATATGCTTAGTTATCATCAATTGCAATTATTTTATTAATTTAATTTTCCGATTGGCTTAACCCTAAAGTTTAATATATAAAGCGACTTCATATTTTTCATTGAGAGGGCTTCTTTCATATTTCTATCAATCTATAAGAATTATATTGTCTATTCATTCCATAGCATGAGTAGAATCATATCAAGCTATACCATTTGCCACATAGTAGAGCAAAATTTTTTGAATTGGGTGCTTATATATTTTTCCCTGATTTATATATTAGGTATATCTTCTTTAATTCGAACTTCTCTGTCATGGGTATCTTATTGTAGTGAATTAACAATAATGTATTTTATATTTTCCTGATTACACCATATATGATTTATGTAACAGATTACGATAATTCGAAGATTAATTTTCTTTATTTATTAATTTAAATCAATTTTCCTTCATAACACGTTAGGTACTGGTAAACATATATTATAGCCACGTATAAGGGGTTGCTGTATGAATTCTCATTCCTATGTGAATATGAGAACTTTTTTATAGAAGGATCTTCTTGAAAGGTTGGGAATTACTGATCTATATATAGTTCAAAGAAACCTAGGATAGAGGTAATGATAGGACCAATAGGAAAATAAACCACATATTAATATAATAAGTAGAAAGAGGAGGAGAGAAATTCAAAAATATTAGACAGGCCAATCCTTAATAAATCAATATTGAGAACTCTGCTTAATTACAAAAATCTTAATGTATTTCTAATTTTGAAATTGATCTGGTT